CACCCATGAGTGATCCATGATACAATCTTGGTGATTTGGGAGCTTCAAACTTGTGTTTTTCACACTCACACTAGTAGGTAGTGTAGCGCTTCACATATGGATGCTTCTTGATGCAATCTTGGTGATTTGGGAGCTTCAAACTTGTGTTTTTCACACTCAAACTAGTAGATAGTACAGTGCTACATTCATGGATGCTTCTTGATGCAATCTTGATGATTTAGGCTCTCCAAACTTCTCATTTTTACACTCACACTAGTGGGTGGTGTAACGCTTCACACATGGATGCTTCTTGATACAATCTTGGTGATTTGGGAGCTCCAAACTTGTGTTTTTCACACTCACACTAGTAGGTAGTGTAGCGCTTCACACATGGATGCTTCTTTATGCAATCTTGGTGATTTGGGAGCTTCAAACTTGTGTTTTTCACACTCACACTAGTAGGTAGTGTAGCGCTTCACCCATCAGTGATCCATGATACAATCTTGGTGATTTGGGAGTTCAAACTTGTGTTTTTCACACTCACACTAGTAGGTAGTGTAACGCTTCACCCATGAGTGATCCATGATACAATCTTGGTGATTTGGGAGCTCCAAACTTGGGATTTTCACACGCACACTAGTAGGTAGTATAGCGCTACACCCATGAATGCTTCTTAATACAATCTTGGTGATTTGGGAGCTCCAAACTTGTGTTTTTCACACTCACACTAGTAGGTAGTGTAGCGCTTCACCCATGAGGGATCCATGATACAATCTTGGTGATTTGGGAGCTTCAAACTTGTGTTTTTCACACTCACACTAGTAGGTAGTGTAACGCTTCACCCATGAGTGATCCATGATACAATCTTGGTGATTTGGGAGCTTCAAACTTGTGTTTTTCGCACTCACACTAGTAGACAGTACAGCGCTACATTCATGGATGCTTCTTGATGCAATCTTGGTAATTTGTGCTCTCCAAACTTGTATTTTTCACACTCACACTAGTAGGTAGTATAGCGTTGCACCCATGAATGCTTCTTGATATAATCTTCGTGATTTAGGAGCTTGAAACTTGTGTTTTTCACACTCAAACTGGTAGGTAGTATAGCGCTTCATTCATGGATGCTTCTTGATACAATCTTGGAGATTTGGACTTTCCAAACTTGTGTTTTTCACACTCACACTAGTAGGTAGTGTAGTGCTTCACCCATGAGTGATCCTTGATACAATCTTGGTGATTTGGGAGCTCCAAACTTTTGTTTTTCACACTCACACTAGTAGGTAGTGTAGTGCTTCACCCATGAGTGATCCATGATACAATCTTGGTGATTTGGGCTCTCAAAACTTTTGTTTTTCACACTTACACTAGTAGGTAGTGTAGCGCTACACCCATGGATGGTTCTTGATACAATCTTGGTGATATGGGCGCTTCAAACCTGTGTTTTTCACTCATGAACTAGTAGGCAATGCACCGCTTCACTCATGGATGCTTCTTGATGCAATCTTGATGATCTAGCCTAATCACGCTCGAAGCTTCCACTCATACACTAGAAGGAAGTGCACCGCTACTTTCATGGATGACCTTTTGACCCAACCTTGGTGATCTTGCCTACTTAGACTCTTGTTCTCACTCACATGATGACATGTGATGTTCCGGTTGTGCTTCCCTTCATGTGCATGTGCTTTTCATTAGTCTAGCCACTCATTGTCATGTTCATACTTGGTGTGATGTTTCGGATGATCTTCCCTTCATGTGCATGTGTTTTTTC